TTGAAAATGTTCGCGTTGGATCACCTTCGCCCGCATCGTGGATTGGGGGGGGGCGGTCGTCGGTCGCTGGGTCTGGTCGTGGAGGCTCGGGGGATCCGAAGCAAGCCATTGGACCCCCTCCTGGGCGCTTTTTCGAGTTGGAGCCTCGAGTCTGCGGCGGCCCCGGGGGGCCCCCGAGGCTTCGTCGGGAGCGCCCACTTAGAGTGCCGGGCGATCTCCCGGGCAGATTCTGCCCGGCGGCGTCTGCCCGACATACCTATGGGGACGGCGCCCGAAGGTTGATCCGACGCGGGTTTTGTTGGCTGCGTGCATTGGACAAACCATCGGGCGGCTAGGGTCGCCACCCATGCTAGCGCGAGTATGGAGCAAGGTCCGAGCTCAATACTGCGCCAGATGGGAAAGAGCTTCAAGCGCACGCACTTCTGAGGCGTGGACCCCTCAACCAGCTGCGATAAGTGCCCTTACTTGCACAATGCGCAGGTAGAACTTGCCACATGTAAAGAAAAAAGCGTTCAGGTAGCATCTATGTATACCTTGAGAAGTTGTCCGAAAATATGCCACACCAGCATGCGCTCGAGAGTGCGAAGGAGCTGGGATTCAGCTGCTAGCTCATCCGCTGCCTGCGCTGCCTACACCGAGCTGAGAGGAGAGATGTGGCCAGAGAGGGAGCGCCGTCGCCTGTCGTCGCTAACTGGACCGCGGTGGCCGCATGCACTTGCGCCGCAACTCTGGCTCGGATCACGACGCATTCGATTTTGAAACAGGTAGCTAGGGCTGCCCCAATCGCGATGGTTAAAAATGCTTTTGAAGACATTCGCGCGCAGGCGCTAGGAGGAGCAGGCACAGTTGCGCGGCAGCTTGGCGCGAGTTCCCAGGTCACCTGCAGTCGACCAAAAGCAAGTTCGCACCTTTACCATTTAAGAAGACGGATGCTCTAGCCTCCCCCAAGGAGCTCCGAGAGGCTTTGAAGGGCGAGCCCTTTTCCGTCTTGGGCATTGATCCAGACTCATCGGGACCTCGGAGGGGATACCAGTAACGGTAGCTTGCGTAGGAATAGCACCCTCAGGGCCAGGTTTTCTGAAGCGCACTTGCGTCTCCGGCGCGCGTCGTCTCTTAGATCGGCTGGCTGGCGCAATTCGCGATGGCCTGACCCCCAAGGCGCCGCAGGGAGCACGCATCAACGATATGCTCCAGAGCTTTCGCCCTGCTGCTCTGATAGGGCCCAGTCGACTACCGAAGGGCGCCCCCCATGGCTCGGCGGCAATGGCGCGTCGTTTTGGGCGAGAACCACTTGCGGGTAGCGTCGACGGCATCGACCTTCAAGATGCATCGCGCCATGATGCGGGAAGGCTCGCTACACGCCAGGACTATGGGATTTGACCGGCCACCCTCGAGCCCAGCGCACGCGCAAAGACCCAATCCAGGCGCTAGCGCCCACCTGCTCGCGCATGGCCTGGACGATCAGCTCCGCGCACAGCATCACAGATGGGGGGGGATTAGAGTGGGAAGTTCGCAGATACTCGCCAAAGTTCTTCGAAGAACGTTCCCAAGCGACCTCCAGAAAGGCGCCTGATCGGTTGGTTCTGCAGGGGCGGCGTTCGGGTCGACCCGGAGAGTGGGTTTCTGCGGTTTTCTGGAGGCCGCTGAATGAAGTTCTGATTTCCAAGGCATCAGCGGAGCGGGGCCGCCAACAGCAAGATTGTCTCAGGAGCCTTGTTATTGGGTCCCACTGGCGCCCGCAAAGGTTACACAAGCACTGTAGTTCGGTGAGCCCCCTCTGCCTGCGCTGCAGCGCCACAGCTGGTTCGCCCTTCCATCGGCATTTCAGGCGGGCCTCGACCCTCGCGCGGCGAATCGGCACACCTGCCAGCGGACCTGACCGAGGCTGCGCGAAACGTAGAGCAGGCGGGGCCGCGACGGGCGGAGCGCATCGCCCAGGCCCTTCCTCCTGACCCGGAGGCCTGTTTCGAATATCGGAAGCACGACACCTCCACCACCTGGCATCACACAGGGTGGCCAGACCTCCTTCAGGCGGACGAGGGGCTTGTTTTTGCAGACGGCATTTGCGCTGATAATGAGCTCGCGACCTGGAGGGTGGCGGGCTGGTCAGTTGTGCTCAACCCCGACCAGAGTGAGAGGGGCGCATGTTTTGGATCGTTTCCGCTATGATGGGGGGCCCAGCCAGGCAGCCAAGGACGGGAAATACGTGCGCCAGCCATCTTGTAGGTTCGTACACGGTCCGCGGCGATTGCAAATCCATGCTCAGATCGGCGCAGGATTTGGCGCGCGCGTGCTCGGCCAAGAACATTCGCGCGCACTCGTGGTCGGTCGCGAGCAGCAGGGGTGATGTTGCGCGTGCTAGGTTCAAACATGCGCCTCCACACAGGAACCCGCAATGATGCATTGGCTGGAGAGCTGACAAAGTTAGAGCGGGCAGGCAATAGGCGAGCAGACTTTTCTGCTAAGAAGGGAGCAGCCGTAAGACTGGCCTCAGCAGGAA